TTACCGAAGACAATAACTAAAACAACATTGTTTTGAGTGCGGGAAGATATTACTTACATTAACACTGGCGATTCAATGTTGGAATGTGTAGAAGAGTTTATAAATAATGAAAAAACATTTTATTGGTTGGATGAAATTGACGTACTGAACTACGAAAATAATTAGGAGATATTTGTAAAAATGTGTACCATAGGTGTAATAATATAGTTTAAATTAAAGATTTTATATTAAAAAAAAATGTGAATAAAAAAACAGTTTTGCATTTATATTCTATAAAAACATATTCTTCTAAAAATGTGAATAAAAACAGTTTTACACTTAAATCAAAAATATGTTCAAATTGTATAAAAATAAATATATATACAAAATATGTATTTTTTATTCCTTTCCTCGCCATAAAAAATAATTATCCAAAAAAATAATCGTAAGACTAAGATTCGTAATAAGAGAGAGATAATAGATATAGAGAGAGTCGCAACGGGGAAGAGAGAGATAGTAGGTAAAGAAAAAGAGAATGATACAAGAACATAACAATGGCGCGGCGGCGGCGGCGGTGGCAGCGGCGGCGGCGGCGGCGACAGCGGCGGCGGCAGCGGGCAGCGGTGACGACGAGCCCTCTCGCACGCGTCATTGTCATCGCTCCGTCGCAACACGATATCATCAGCAATTTTCCATTTTATTTTATAGCAGCCGAATTTATTGATGGTTCTCTTAACATGTCGCGTACAATCGTCAGTGTTTTTTTCTTGTCCCTTGTCTAAACCGGAAGCGTCATCATGTATCGACGCTTCACTCAATTTGTTTATTATTATTATTATCTAAATTTTATTATCTTATCTTCCTTACTGGGCGACACATTTTAAAAGATCATCAACGAAGCATTCCCCCTTCTCTCTCCTCCCCTGCGCCTACGAGTTCCCCCCGCATACCCGCACTCTCAGAATTCCTGGGTTAGAATCCGCCTAGTATATCTACTATTGAGGGCCTGAGCCTTTTCGAACGGATATAGCTTAAATCTAATGTGTTAGGTGGGGGTTATAAACAATATGTCACCATAGCGATGATCTTGTGGATACGCGACTCGATTTGAGAAACATCTATCCTTGGCAATTTTATGACTCTCTGTCGGCGCCAGTGCATTAACAAGGAAATGATCCCGATTGTAAAATTCCAAATGGGATGAGCCATAACTTATTCGAAGGAGAGAGTGTAATAACACGGTAAAATAGTTTATGTGAATGGGCTTTGGTTTCTGAGAAAATTGTAAGTAATTGGGCGCCCGATCAACTGGGGAATAAGTACTGGAACCGTGCACCTTCCTAAAATCCTCCCCTTATCAATAAGATTCGTTTCTTTTTAGAGTCAAGATAGGTTAATTCCCCCCACATCTCTAACGAACCGCTAATCTCTATTCGTCGAAAAATCTGAATCTTTTAATTATGGAACTGAAGGCCCATCCCCGCAACTTCGATCATGATATCTTCTCGAAGGGACGCTTCTCGCTCTCTTTTGGTTCCGATCGCGATCGCGAGTAGACGTTTTTTCTTTTTTTTCATGAACTAAAATAAGCTGAATAACCTAAATTATCATTTTCTTTTCGATTCATTATTTCGATATTTCTTTCATCAACTATGGTTATTTATTTACTACGTTTCTTTAATCCAAAACAGAATTCGATTATTAATTAAGTCCCGCGACCTCAAGCAATTTATTTCACATCCTCTCACTTCGGGTAATTAATTTCGTGTGGCCTGTGCCACAACGACCATCGTCCAAACCATCGCAGCCTTGAAGTGCCCTGCTGATTTTTCCAAACATCTTGAGATCAGGGTTCCACACGCCTTGTATTGTAAATCTGGTACTCATAATCATCGCCTCCATCCGTCGCATCCATCCTCATTATTATTATTATTATTATTATTATTATTATTATTATTATTATTATTATTATTATTATTATTATTATCATTATTATTATCATCATCATCATTATTGTAGCATTCGGGTACGGTCCTAAATATTTTAGAGTAGAGTCTTATCTCTAACTGCCATGCCCGAAGACCTCCGCACTTATGTAACAACCACGAAATAACACTCACAACACTATTCTACATTCGATTAATTACCGAGCGCCATACTCGTTATGCCGTTAAGTAATTACCAGTGTCATTTCTTCTTTCTTATATTTGTATTTTACTCGTATTTGCATTTGTATTTTTATTCCATTTTATTTTATTATTGTAATTTCATATTCGAACTAATTAATTAAATGTAAATTAAATATTAAATTTATGTGTCATTTTCAACAATCCCTTCCCCGTTCGCGCTCATTCCTCGCATCATCGAGATCGCATGAAGTCTTTCGCTGGTTAAAAGAATTAAATTTCCTGATCAAAAAATGATCGATGGAACATACGTATACAGCGTCATAGCGTTTCTTAACATTAATCTAACTCTAGACATATGCAGTGCGTTTCGACTCGAAGGGTTACGATTCTATACTTGACCCTCAAGAAAGCATCTGTGCCATCCTTCCGAGCCCATCTGTACTCCATTTATCTCTAAATTTCTTAATTTGTTTTGGACTAGACATAATATTATTAAGATATAAAATATCTTAAAAAAAGCTTTATTTTATTTTCTAATTCCAAGAAGCATGTTAGGGTTTGCAAAAATTGAAAATATTTTATTTTGTGTCTAATGTGTAATACGAACATATATAGCGCCACACTATTTAGTGATGAGAAGCGAGCAAGAATAGAGTAGCACATTCGAACGCACAATTAACGTGCGCTATGTTTAAATGCTCTAATATATTTTTTCATGACATATATACCATATAGTACATATCTATGATTATACAGTATTCATAACTAATGTTAGTAAAAAAATTTATTTTAACTATTTTTTTCGAATAAGATGTGATGAGCTTCTAAAGATTCTAGAATAAAGACTAAGATATTTGTAGGTTTGTGTCTGTGAGAACTTTTTTAATTAATTTGGCATGAGCTACAAAATATTAAAATTTGAAACAATTTGACTAAGAGCCATTTTCCAAGATTTGTATGGAGTTCTTTGACAGGAAATTTTTTAACGCGAAATTAAGAGATGTGTTAATATAAGAGATAAACTGCTTGAGGTAATTCGCTTCGAAGAGGCGGTAATACCTAATATTGAATTAATATGTAGTGCACACACATCATTATCATTCTCATAATCTATTATTACGATCGAGTAAAAATCCGCTTGTTGCAACCCGTCTTTTCTTCCCAAAAGACGGGTTGCAACAAGCGGATCTTATTTCCTATCAATAAATTGTTGTTAGCAACTTTGAGTGAGAGAACTACGGAACAGTTGCGATCGATATGAATATCTTTATCATTTTTTTGTACTCGCTTTGTTAATAAAATTCGTTCGTTTTGTAAAATAGTTTTACTCATTTCACAAGTAAGCGTGTGCAAAAAATATTTAGTTTTTCAACAAAAAAAAATTAAAATCGATTTTATTTCAGAATCTGATTAGTAAATTTTAATTTTTTTGTGTGAAAAACTAAATATTTTTTATAAGTATATAGCATATAAGTATATAGCAATAAGTTTGTTATT